CTCTCTCTCTCTCTCTCTCTCTCTCTCTCTCTCTCTCTCTCTCTCTCTCTCTCTCTCTCTGGATTCGTGCCCCGGTTTAAACCGACCGACTCGCCTTCAACTTTTCCAGTTGCTTACCAACCCACCTTCCCTATCAGCCGCTAGACTCCTGGAATAGGAATAGAGGTGTGGCGAGAGAGGGAGGGAAGAAAAGAGGAGAGAGAAGTCTGTAGCTTGCAGCATCCGTGCCGTCAAAGAGCCAAGGCTCGTGCAACTTTTCAAAAAATTTCTCGGTCGAGTCACGAAGGGCGGGAGCGCTTTTAGGGTGCGTTACCAACAACCTGAAAGAGTCTCTTCGATTTCCGATCGTTTTCTTTCGCTGGCCTCTTTGAAAATCGCTCGCGTTTACCTTGGCCTGGTCTGTGCTTCGGGATATGGGTATCGATTTTATGAAGTATGGTAGCGGGAGAATCTAGAAATTGTACACGATGGTCCAGATGAAAAATTTGGGGAAATTTATGAGATTGTAAAAATTCTTGCAAAGTGGAAATATTTAATTCTTCTTCACCTGTCGTTTGTAAAAAATTGGAAGAAATCGAATTTACACTTGTTCACATTAGAAAAAAGTGACAACTGAAATTTCTTCGATAACGTAACAAAAATTGCTCCAAATTTGAAATACTTAATTCTTCTTCAATTGCCAGGGGATTAGCAGGATCCTGATTAAGGAGCACGGTTCTCCACTTCAAGTCACAGAAGCCGTAATCCTCTAGTACAACGGCAACATTACATTAGTTATACAAACACTCGACACACGGTTACTAGAACATGAACCTTTCCCAGGTTGACAATATCCTCTGCACATCTACCATAGTTGCGTACCTTATTCCATTACTTCAACAATGCCACGCTGCCAGTCATACATTAAAGTCAGAATTCGTCGACGTCCTTACATCCGCAGTACCTGATGTACCTAAGTATGTCTGCATCTCGTTCGTCGGTATATTAGAGAGTATCGCGATACTAAATTATTCCCGTCAGATGGGCGTAATATACAACGTATCAAAGGAGAAGAAAGAAAGAGAGAAAGAGAACGTCTCCGTATTCGATCGTCGTCTCCAGTACGCCGAAAAATTCTGAAATATACGACTCGATTTTACGGTTCGACGGACATGTCCGGTGAACCCGATTCCGCTATCTCCACGAAGACTGACGATATCGACTGGACCCGGGCTAGCTATCACGCCGCGAGAAAGGAATATGTCCCGGTGGTTTACGCGGTCGGGAAAATAGAACCGGTCCCGATGTAACGCTCCATTTCGATATCTCGATATGACGCGGTACACTTCCTTTCGGCCGGGCCGGTTCCACCGTGTTACGCCGGAACGTCCGTCGTTGCTTCCGCCGCGCCACCACGTCCGCAGAAGAATTATTGTATTATTCGAGGAAGAGAATGCTCTACCCTTCCTTCCCTCTCTCTCTCTCTCTCTCTCTCTCTCTCTCTCTCTCACACACACACACACACCCCACCGCACGTCCGTTTTCGATTCCGTGTCCCTGTTTTTGAGGGATCGCGCGCGCAGCATGGTATCGAGTTCTCGGGGAAATCGTTGTCTGGGCACGATAACGAATGACCGTTCGTTCCGATAACGCGATCCCGTAGTTGATACGCAGATTGCCGTTTTTCCACGCCCTTTTCTGACCGAGAATGTTATAAATAGGCTAGTTGACGCCTAGGTAATAAATATCGTTTGCTCCGGCTGTCCGGTGTTAACGTTGACAGTTGATACGGTTTTCGCCGGTGTGTGTCTGTCACCGGGATTTTCAACGAGAGATACGTATCATGAACTGTGAACGTGAAATTTTCGGAAAGCTGTTTGCTCGGTTTTGGTTGAACAGTTTCGGTGTGAAATGGAAACGATGTCTGGACGATCGTTAGATGGATGGTTTTAAACAGACGATAAATCATATTGGTCGAATCGCGAACGATTCCTCAGCCTGGATACGTAAACATCGTTGTCAAAGTGAAAATCCATCGCTTATCGTGCAACACCATCGGGATAGATACTTTTCCCACTATCTCACTTACTCGGACTCGTCGCGGGATAGCGGGCTCGTCGAATCGATCCACGAAACTCGTACCGCGTTAACAGGGATTCTCGTTATTCCACGATGCGAGAAGCAAGAAGCAGAGAGTGGAGGGTTTTACTTAGCAGAAGTACAGCCGGAGGAAACGTTCGATAATTTTAGCATATTGAAATATTGTTTCGTTCTTTTCGTCCCGTTCCGCCGTATCAGCGTATCGTAACAGCCCTCTCTGCTCCTTCCTTTCCCTCGAACTCCGCTCCTGTATTTATTCTTTTTCCGCCGCTGGTACTATGCCCGAGCTTCTTCTTCTTCTTTCTTCTCTTCCTCTGCAGCCAACCGAGCGAACCAACAAGGGTTGCCACCCTCCTTTCACCCTCTGTGCAACGTGGCTGGAGAAGATATTATGCGAAATACTTTCTGCCTGGGTTCGAGGAACCAGCCGGGAATACTTTACGAGATGTATAATTTGGCCGGATGTACCGTCGTTTCGCGGAATTTACGATCGCTCGAGCCTACGCCTATGCTAACCTTTCCCAGCCGACCAAGCTTCCGCGTTTCTTCCTGTGTACGCAGGGCCTGGATTTCCCTTCTCTCGAGGATTCTCGTATGCACAGCACACAGACACGCGGTATATAAGGATAGACGTTGGCCGACACGTGTCTCAGGGATGACGGTGCAAGCGGTGGAAATTTCGTGCCGCGATATTTCGTTTTCCCGGCCGGCGTCCGTTAATATCGCGCGACCTAGAAAGATTTGCGAAATTACCTCGCCACCGCGCTCCGGATGGATGAGATCTGGCGCCACGCTCTGCGAACTGTTGGTCGCGACATTTTTGAGGCTGAAGAAGCTCTCGCGGTTACTGGTGTCGAGTCGAGTTTTTCCACGGAAAGTAGGGTAATTGGTTTTTGTGTAGTTGCTCGTGAAGTATGATAATAATATTGCGAGTACTTGTATATACTTTTCGGCCGAATTTTTAATAGAATTTTTTTCGCGGATTTTGTGTTCATTTCAGATTTGAGGAGGAGATTGTTACTCGGTGGTGAATGGAAATTAGGTTTTCTTTTTTTGCTTTTTGGAATACGGGGGCATTACTTTAGTTCCCGGTTCTTAATGAGAAACAGTGAACGGAGTTTTCGTTCTGTTTGTACGTTCTGAGAGTTGGAAATGATCGAAGTGTATGGAAGTACATTGGCAAAAATATTAGAACGTAACTATCGCGCTTTAGAGAACGAGCGTGCTTTAAGGGTAAGCGATGGTGTCGAGCAAAGTGGCTAGGGCAATGTGAATTTTGTTACCGCCGCTTATTTTCGCAAAATACTGCAATTATGGCTTTATTGCGGCATGCACGAAACTACAATTTTAGACGAGGCAGGTTCACCCGTGCTCCGCGTTATTTTCGTTCGTGTCGTGAACGACGGCTTCGATAATAATTCCTCTGAAGAAGGAGCAGCGTTGGCGAAATTAAACTCGATATTTATCACGGGTATTGCGATATTGAAACGTATACGCTGTCTTCTTTTCACCAAATAATTAATAATTCGGGATTGATTCTGTCAAATAATATCGATACCTTTTAACCTACTTTTTAATGTATTCATCGTCAATTTGCAGTTAACACAAAAATACACCGATACAATCTTCGTAAGAAAGACAATACTTTCTTCCACATTTTCACATTTTACTCCTCTTAAGAGTATTCCAATTTTTAAACGTGTAAGTTGTCTTCTTTTCACCAAATAATTAGCAATTCATGATTAACTCTGTTAAATAATTTGGTACTCTAAAACCTACTCCTT